TTAGTATGATGTTGGCTGTTGGTTTTTCATAGATAGCCTTAATCAGGTTGAGATAAAGACCTTCTGTTCCAATTTTCTGTAGGATTTTTTGAATGGGTGTTGAATTTTGTCCAGTGTTTTTTCTGCATCTGTTGAGATGATCATATGGTTTTTGTCCTTGACTCTGTTAATATGGTGTATTACATTTATTGATTTATGAATGTTGAGCCATCCTTTCATCCCTGGGATAAATCCGACTTGGTCAGAGTGTATGATCTTCTCGATGACCCTCTGTATTCTGTTTGCTAGTATCTTGTTGAGGATTTTTGCATCTATGTTCATGAGGGAGATTGGCCTACAGTTCTCTTTTTGGGTTGGGCCTTTCCCTGGTTTTGGAATCAAAGTAACACTTGGTTCCAGGAATGAATTCGGAAATATTGCTTCCCTTTCAATTTCCCTGATGAGTTTTAAGAGTAATGGCAATAGTTCTTCTTTAAATGTCTTGTAGAATTCAGTAGTGAAGCCATCAGGACCTGGGATTTTCTTTGTTGGTAAATTTTTTATTACCTTTTCAGTTTTACTCATTGTAATTGGGGTGTGTAGAATTTCTATATCTTCTTCATTTAACTTTGGGAATTTGTGTGTATCTAGGAATCTGTCCATTTCTTCTGTGTTTTCCATTTTATTCGAGTACAGGTTCTCGAAGTAGGTATTGATGATCCTCTGGATTTCTGCTGGGTCTGTTGTGACTTCACCTTTTTCATTCTTAATTGCATGGATTTGAGCCTTTTCTTCCTTTCTTTTGATAAGGTTGGCTAGAGGTTTATCGATTTTATTTATTCTTTCGAAAAACCAACTCTTTGATTTATTAATTTTTTGGTATTGTTCTCTTAGTCTCTGTTGCATTGATTTCTGCTCTGATCTTTATAATTTCTTTTCTTATACGAGCTTTGGGTTTGTTATGCTCTTCTTCTTCTAGGAGCTTGAGGTTCTACATTAGGTTATTTATTTGAGTTCCCTCTGTTTTTCGAAGATGGGTATTCACTGCTATGAATTTCCCATGTAGAACTGATTTTTTCTTTTTTGTTTGTTTGTTTGGTACCAGGGATCAAACTCAGGTCCTTGCGCTTGCTCAGCAGGCGGCAAAACCACTGGACTAAATCCCCAGCCCTAGAACTGCTTTCTTTGTGTCCCATAGATTCCTATATGTTGTATTGGCATTATCATTTACTTCTAGAAACTGTCTAATTTCTTCTTTAATTTCCTCTGTGTCCCATTGGTTGTTCAGGAGGTTGTTATTTGATTTCTACGTGTTTGTGGGGGATGTTGTACTTGCTTATGTTATTGGTTTATTGATCTCCAGTTTTATTGCACTATGGTCTGATAATATACAGGGGGTGATTTCAGTTCTTTTGCAGTTACTGAGATATGTCCTATGAGCTAGCATGTGGTCCATTTTGGAGAATGACCAGTATGCAGCTGAAAAGAACGTGTATTTTGATTTTGTGGAGTGAAAGACTCTGTAAACACCTATTAAGTCCGTTTGTTCAATAGCTTGGTTCAGTTCTAGAATTTTTTTTTTTTTTGGTACTGGGGATCGAACTTGGGTCCTTGCACTTGTGCAGCAGGCAGCGAAACCACTGAGCTAAATCCCCAGCCCCCAGTTCTAGAATTTGGTGTTAATTTTTTGTCTAGATGATCTATTTGTGATAGTGGGGTATTGAAATCCCCCACTACAATTGTGTTAGTGTTTATTTGGTTTTTCATGTCCATTAATATTTGTTTTTTATAGTTGGGGGCATTCATGTTTGGTGCATATATATTTATGATTGTCATCTCTTCCTCTGGGTTGTTCCCTTCACAAGGATGTAGTGACCATCTTTGTCTCTCTTAATT